TGGGGCAGAGATCCGGTCGCTTTCTGCCCCCGCGGCCTGTCAGGACGGAGCTCTGGCTCGGCGCTGCAGAGCGCGGGTGACAGCAGCAGCGATGAGGTTTTGTGGAGTAGGAACTGGAGGGAATGGCGAGAGGCCCCGAGTGCGAGGGTGAAGTGACTGGCCTGAACCTGCTCTGTTGCAGGTGGCGTTTGGGCAGAGTTTTAGTGTGTACGTACTAGGAGGATATGAAAAGTGGGAACGAGAGGTGTGTGGCGGTGAGTGAAGTCACTGTCAGAGAGGAAAGAGCTTATCAAATTTAGGCCTCCACGGATCCAGTAGTAACCTTCTGCTTGTGACGGTTCTACTGAAACACCTTTCTCGGGCTCGGTTCTGTTAAGGTTATTTGCCTGTCACAGCACTGTGCACACTGGCAGCAGATGGCCCCTCACACCTTCTCCTGGTGCCCAGGTCTGCAGTGTGCGTGGCTTCTGTGGTGGAATGGGTTCAGGAGAACTAAAGCAACTTGTTAGCACCCTGAATTCCTTACACAGAAGTGTGTTGTCCTCTCCTTTCCCTGGAAAGGTATCACAGATGCCTACACAGACAGTAATTTTTATCAGCCTGCAAATAGTCCCTAATTTGTCTCTGATAAATATATCAGTATGATTAGTGATTCTAGTTTGTTGGGTGTTTCATGACGTTTTGTAGTGTTCAAGTGGATTTACAAAGTAATTATTTAGCATTAGATATATTTGTTACAAAAACCAATGGAAAAAGAACTTTAGTGTTCTGTGATTAATGGCATAAATCAGATACTAGCCTGGCCACATGCATTCATGGAACACAATATATGTGAGGGCAAGCCAGTTTTGAAAAAAGAAATAAAAGGTCATTTAAAGTCAGCTCCCAGACTTCTCTGTAATGTCATGTGCTTGATTTAGTGCAGCTTCTCAGTTTGTAACAGACTGATTTAACGTGTACCTATTGACTTACACTTGATTTTAAGAAAAAAGAAGTGGATGATTCTGTATAGGACTATAAAAATCTTCTGATGCTGAATTCTTTGAAGCTTCAGCATGCCCTTGTAGAGTCTCCGGCACTGAAGGGACAGAGTCTGGTACAAAAAAGGTGGCTCAGATTTTGGCAAATTGAGAGAAAAGGAAAACAAAAATGTAGCCACAATGAGGAAGCTTGGTGCTGCTGCAACTTGATTTTGCTGGATTGGTCTGCCAAAAAATAGCATAAACCAGGAAGATACAATGTGGTTCAGCACAAGCTATCTGGGCAACAACCTGAACTTGTCCGTTTTCACTGGAGAAAAGAAACTGCTTGTCCATAGACTCATAGAATCATCAAGGTTGGAGGAGACCTCTGAGATCATAAAGTCCAACCGTTAACCTGTCACAGCTGTAACCCCTAAACCATATCCTCCAGTGTCAGATCCAGTTGCCTCATAAACACTTCCAGGGGTGGTGACTCCACCACCTCCCTGGGCACCCTATTCCAGTGCCTAACCGTGTAAGAAATTAGGTCAATTTCATTTTGTTTTTGTTTGATCTCACTTGTTGCCTGCTGAGCTGAGTCTATCTGCATTTCCATATCCTCCACATTGCTGACATGGAAGCATCTTTCTCTTCTGCTTTTTGTAGGGGGCTTTTTCTCCACCATCTTTTCCAGTTTGTTTGGAACTCGAGAGATGAGGATTCTTATCCTGGGACTGGACGGAGCAGGAAAAACAACCATTCTCTACAGGTTACAAGTTGGAGAAGTTGTTACCACCATTCCGAGTAAGTGGTCAGTTCTGGAGTGAGAATGTATTTGTAGCCTGTGATTTGCCTGTAGCCCTAACACAAACTTTGTCAGCTGAACTTACTACATGTTTCCTTCATAAAAGGACCTTATGTTGTGGGAACCTTGCCCTGTTTTATTTAAGAACTTATTTGCATAACAGTGTTACAAAGGAGTATTTTATGCTGCCCTGTAAAATGCAAACACAACTGACCTTAAGATTGTTAGCATGATTTGGCAGGTGTTTTGTGCTAGGTCAGTGTTCAGTGGATGGTGACTGTGGACTGTATCATTCTTTTGTTTCCAGATACAGCTGTTAAGTGAGTCATACTTCTGTCGTTTATCTTTTTTTACAAGGGGCTTCATTTTATTACATAAACACTTAAACAAGTGTTAAACACAGCGAAAAAGAAAGGAGGTGGTTTAACATTACTTTCTGTAGAAGAGGTAACAAAACTCAATGTGAGGTCTCATGGGAGATGATGCTGATTTTAAAAAAATATACCTGACTTCACCAATTGTTGTAGGATTTGTGTAACCACAGCCACCTACTGCAAACACCTGATGTGTGTGCTGAGTGGTCTGGCCAGGATCACTCTGTGTGACATGAGGGACAAGGGATGCTTGACTTCTGAGTCCCTGTCATGTCTCTTGCATTTTTCCTGAATCTGACTTTGGTCCAGTCTGGCTTACCTTAGAAACCAGCAGTTTGTGCCGTAATCCATTTGCCCAAGGGTTTTCTTATTTCAGCCTCCATCAACTTTCAGCAGTCTGCACCCACCATTCACTTCTCTGTGCTGTGTTCTCTGGGCTGGCAGGAAAAGGAGTGACATATGTGATGTGCTGCAGCCTTGTTGCCATCTTCCAGACATCACAGTGTCAAGTCCTCTGTTGAGAAGTTGCTTCTGATGAGAGCACAGACCTTGTGTGGACATGAAGGACACATTCCTTTAGTGTCTATTGCTGTCAGTTGTGTACTTGGTTATCAGAGCAGGCCACTTCCTTAACCCTTGTGCAATTTCTTTTGGTGATTTCAAGCACACTTCTGTTGATTTTTAACCACCTTAGCATTTGTTACAAATCTCTACAACACGATTACAACGTGGTTTTATTGCTCAAACGTTACTGCATTATTTTCAGCCATGTTTGTCGGGGTAACTGCAAAGGGCGTGAGCTTTGTTATGAAGCTGCTGAGAATTTTCAGGCCTGAAAATCTTAGACTAAGTGCTATATTGTTCTTCATAAAAACAAAGAAAAATCACCAACAGTGAAACTGTCTAACCTTTTTTTCAGCCATTGGCTTCAATGTTGAGACAGTGACATACAAGAATCTGAAATTTCAAGTTTGGGACCTGGGAGGACAGACAAGCATAAGGTAATAGATAAACAAAGATAGAATTTCCTCTAAAAAGTGCCAAGTTCTTGGAATTCTCATAGGTGGCACTTCGTAAAATTGGTTAAGTTTTAAAACCAGCCCATTGTCAGGAGAGCACGTTCATCTGATGGAATTCAATTTGTAAAACTTGTGATGCACTACAGATTGGAAAGAAGCAGCAAATGTTTTCATTTGTATATAGTTTTGCTTTGAAAAACAAATTTATTAGTGTAATAGGTGACTGAGCAGCATTCTGAGAAAGAGAGTGAAGTAGGTGACAGAAACCCCAAAAGATACTTAAGTATTCTTAAGAATGTAAATGTAGGAAGTTGGGTTTAGGTCTAGACAGTAATTTTTTAGCAAGCTTTACAAATTTTGTAATGAGTCATTCTGTGCATTCTGTGATCTCTTCACTACCCCTGTGTGATCCTTTCATGATTCCTCTTTCAGTGCTCAGTAAGGTGCTGTTAGTAAGCTACAGATTCTTTCCCTTTTAGTCTCAGTAGGGTAATTCAGAAAAAGCTGCTTTCTTTTGACCCTTGCTAATTACTTGCCTGTATGAATTAGTCACTTGAGATTGCTCCATTTATCCTCCTTCAGTGATCATAATGATTACCTATGGCCGAAGCTTGTGTGTTTAAACTTTGTTGGTTTCCCTGTCCCTCAGTTATGGACCTGATGTCCTGTAGGCTGATTCCCAAATAAATCTATCCCCAGCATTTCTGTCCTGCTTTTTTTTTTTTTCCTTCTGATTGGTTGGGTTTTTTTGTAGTTTGTTGGTGTGTTTTTTTGTTCTGCCTTGGAGAGTATTGGCACTGTCTGTTCCTTTTTGTAGTCTCTTCTTACTTGCCTCCTGGGACCTTTCACCCCAGAGACAGTTTTTACTTCCTCTGGGTAATATGCATTTGATTACCTACAAAGCACTGCTAAACATGCAGATTATACGACTGGAACTTCTCTTTCTTCTGCAGGCCATATTGGCGGTGTTACTATTCGAACACAGACGCAGTCATTTATGTCGTGGACAGCTGTGACCGAGACAGAATTGGCACTTCAAAATCAGAGCTTGTTGCTATGTTAGAGGTAAGAAAACAAGAGTGACAGAACAGAAACTGAGAATGGAAAATTTGATTCAGTGAATCAAGTGAAGCTGAACTTCACTTGTGAAACTTCAGCCCCTGCAACACTTGTGACTGAGAGAAAAGCTCTAAAGGCACTGCAGATATTTCACAGGTTGTGCAGCTCTGCTGAGCAGGTAGTTATGTGTAGCCTTGTGGTCGTATGAAAATTTACCTGCCTGCAAGGACAGCAGCTCAGTACTGCAGTGGTGGCAAAATTAGGTGCAGAAGGATTAACAGTAATTACTATTTTACTACATTTTGAAGCTGAAGAACATAGGCAGTCAGGGTAATATAAGTAAGATGAATTGAGTAAAACTTTGTTCCCCTTTTCCCCCCCCTCAAAATTCCTGCAGGCTCTTTGAGATGCCTTCCTAAACCCAACTACCTGCCTGTTTCATGATTTAACAGGTAGGACTGGCCATGTTTTGAAATTGCTCCTATGTGATATTGTGCTGGAATCTTAAACAAACACCATTCTGTCACTGGAGAATTTTCTAAAAACCAAAAATCAGGAAACAAAAATCACTTGAGAGCTGCTGAAGTTTTTTTTTCATTATGTAGGTTTTCTCTGCTGAAATAAATTTAGTGGAAGTCTTTGCAACAACTTCCATGATTCCCTTTTTTATTTTTTTTTTTAGGAAGAAGAGTTGAAGAAAGCCATTTTGGTGGTGTTTGCAAACAAACAGGACATGGAACAGGCCATGACTCCCACAGAAATGGCAAATGCCCTTGGTTTACCAGCTCTGAAGGACCGAAAATGGCAGATATTCAAAACCTCTGCAACTAAAGGCACAGGCCTTGATGAAGCAATGGAGTGGTGAGTAACAGTCTAAATATGCTTCATTCATAGGCTTCATTTTACAGGTTTGGGTTTTGTTTGGGTTTTTTTAAGACCAAATCTGTGGAAAGTCTGATACAACAGACAAGAATCCACATGAGAGGAATGTGAGTGGGTGTCTCCTGAAAGTACTTCAGCATAATTGAAATGACTTTTCAGTGACTTTTTTCCTAGGTTGGTGGAGGCCTTGAAGAGCAGGCAGTGATAGAAAACTGGCGACTGCAAGGAAGTTTCAGCTATATCATCGAGCATCTCCCTTTCTGCAGTTAAGTGTTTTCAGGCTACAGATACCTGTAAATAGGACAGCTCTGAGTTTGACTCCTGTAACGTGGATGCCTCTCGTGAATTGTAAAACTGAACCAAGTGAATGTCTGTGTACATTATGATACTCCATTTCTTTCTGTTTCAAGAATGTACTTATGTTAATTTGTATGAAAGTCTTACTGGCTGGGAAAGTGGTTTTTTTTTTCTCATCCCTCCTCCCTCCTCTGGTGGCTCTGAGTGGCCAGCATATTGGTGTACTAGAACACTAATAAAACCTGGAACTGTCAGCTATACTCAGAGGTGTGTTGCTTGCTAAAGGCTGTTTGCTTACAGAAACAAGTCTGAACTGCTGCCAGGTCTAGCAGTCACAGAGCAGTATACCTAACACCTAAAGAGATTTCCTTAAGCTGATGTTATACTTCATAATCCTTCAGTGTAGACAGTTACCATGAAGTACAGTAACTGAGTACAAGTAGTGTTACCTCTGGCTGCTAACATACCACTGAGATACTGAAAGGAAAATAAATGTCATCAGTAGACACCTACTGCCCTGATGTGCCAGGGCTGTAATTTGAATTTAACTTCCACCTCCATGAGCTGTTATTCCTGTACTCTGTCAGCTTAGCCAGGAGTGATGTGGTAAGCAGCTCAGTACAGTTGCAGAAACTGAAAGACAAATCTAAGTGGGGAGGCAGACTTTTCCACCCAGGACCAGGATGCTCATGGGCACGAAGGCAGTCATCACAGGACCCATTTCTTACAAATGAAGCAAAATTTAATATAAAACATCATGGCTGCTGCCCATTCAACTGTACATGCTCTGGTAAATATACAGGTTTTAGAAAAAAAATAAAATCAAAAAGGTCTTATTTAACATCCTAGATGGAAAAGAGGACATGAAAAAATACTAATACGTACAATTAAAATATGTAAATACTTTTTTTAACAGTGATTAGTTCTTTAGGTCAGTATTACTCTTCATAAATTAATCCTTCAGGAAGGAAAAGCTTTTTCATTCCACCATTGCTAAATCTTTCAGTGCATGACTTCGACGTCTCTTGGCCTTGTACATAGGGCGCAAGGATTCTATTTTTCTTTTCCTGGTTTCTGCTTTATTCCTATGTCTCTTCAGCTTCTTCCTTGCAGCAATGTCAGGATTTGCTACAGTCTGGGGAAAAACAGTATTTGTTGTTATGACAACAGTTGCTGTAAACATCAGGTACTTCCTAAGGAACTGGTGGCTGTTAAAGACAACGTATGGGTGTTCTTAGGCTCCTCAGAACTTAGGGTATTTGGGCTGCTCTCCCCAGGTTTAACCACTGCTCCTCAGGTAAGCAGGAAAGCATCGCTGTCAGCCAGAACCTGCCCAAGAGGCTCATCATAAAGAGCTTCTTGTAAAGGTTCAGTAATGAAACGATGAAACTGTCCTAATTCAGGATGAAGTTCTTCCTCAAACTCCCCTTCCTGGGCAGCTCTCAAGCCTTTAGAGAAGTCCCATTTCTTTTTCCCAGAAGAGAAAGTAGAATCTTACCTGCAAAGCCCTCTGCTTTTTCCTCATTGCTCTCTTCTGGCTGGCCTGTTTCTGCACAGCAGAAAAGGCAAGCGAAAACATCTCCAGTCCAACTAACTTCTTGAGAAGTTCTATGATTTCCTGGGAAAGGTTCTTCAGTGTTGGATCTATTAAAACAATTGACTTACTTAATCTTTTCAGCATATGGAATGAAAGCCAAGAGCACAGTATGGATTCCCCTTTAATAAAGGACGACTGCAATGATTCACCTTGCCCAGTACACTGTAGAGACCAGTGCCTGTGATACCTGCTGGTTCTTTCACCAGCTTTCACAGAGAACCACAGGTTCATGCCAGCAAAAAAATAAAAAATAAAAATCACACTTCAGCCCCAATAGGGGCTGACTTAACTGTCTGAATCACTAGTTAGTGACAATATATTAGCTACAATCACTGGGGGGAAAAAAAAAAGATATTGGGGGGGGAAAGGCTACAAAGAGAGTGGAGCAAATGCTTCCCTCAGCCATCCAAGTGATCTCTCTTCCAACTGCTTGTACAGCTTCCAGAGAAGCTTGTGTAAGCTGCTTGTGTCACAACATGTGAAAAAACATCTCTGCAGTTACTCTGAAAAATCATTTGAAGGCTTCTGGTTCTGAGTGGACAGAGAAAGCAAAAAGTTGATCTTTATCCACTCACAATAGTGTCAATCTCAACAATGTCTTTTCCAAGTCTCTTACTTGCTTAGCTAAAAACCAAACAGGAGCCAAGGCAGCTGTTCCTGACCTAGAACACTGCTACTGACCTCCTCCACGGGTTTTCAGTTCCTTTGTATTCTGTGTGAGATGTGGGCACACAGTGCTACACTGAATTTTCATGGCATATACAAACCAAAGAATTAATGAAACCTTTTTGCTTTGTTACCTGTTTTTTGTCTTGACATTGGATTTTGCTTGATTTAACACATTTTCATGAACAGTCTAAACAGCAGTCTCTTGCTCTTAAGCAAAGAGGCTCATGCTCAGTGGGAAGTTGGTTTTGTCTTTCTCACACTGGACTTGACTTCTTAAGACCTTTCAATAAACACAGATCTCCACGGAGAAACAAGTCAGAGAGGATCTGACGGCACAGAGTGACCTGGACTCATTCAGGAGAAAGGAGAAGTTCTGTGCCCAGTTCCATAGTTGCACACCAGCCTGCACACCCCACGTTACTTTCAGTCACAGTGCACACGTGCCACGCACTGCAGGTCATTTTCTATACTTCCAAAGGGGGAGCAACAGCCTTTTCCTGGCTTCCTTGAGACCCATGCTCTGTTCCCCTCCTCAGCAAGGACTCTATGAGTCTTGCCACCTTGAGTACTACTTTTCCCACTACACCACATGCTTTGAGCTTTGCCCACTTGCACGCAGGAACCTGCTCAACTTTGTTCCAGTCTTTGAACATGCAGACTGTTGTTCCAGCTGACATATACCCTCCACCTTTCCTGGTATTTTAGTTACCAAGTCAGTGAAATTCACTATGTTATCAATGCCTCAAGAAGGAAAGGAACGACAGGCAGTGTTTGTGCTGAGGCACAGCTCTGAAGCACTCTCCTCTTTGCAAGGGAAATCACTTACCTTGCTCTGCATAGTTGCTGTTCAGCTCCCTGTACAGAGGGGTGAGAATGGTTGGAAGGTAGGGCTTGATCCTGTCTTTCCCCAGATCCACTGAGATTGCTCCCAGGAACTTAAAGATGCAGCTTCTCTGAAAATTAAGTGTGTGACACAAAGTAAGGAAGGTTGGAAGGAAACTGCCCAACTGACCTGCTACAAGAGTGCTGTGCATCACTGTTCAACATACAAGGTGTTGTTTGAGACACCTGAGTGGGAAACTCACTGCTGTTACAAGGCCTTACTGCATCCAAGTACAGCCTTTAGCTGAGGCACAACCCCATGGGATCTGTAAACGTGACCTATGACTCCATAGGGTTGGCAGCTGTTAACACTTTGAACAGGCTTATTCTCCTCACTGTCCTGAATAGTGACAAGCAGCTGAAGACATGAAAGCTCAACCTCTCTGCCTGATGCTCTCCCACACCTTTCCCTTCTCCTAGCACATAACTCCATACTGCCCCTGCCTGCACAAACCTAGTGCTCTCCAGCTTTCAAAGCAATGCTCTGTCCCCTTCAGCTTGATGCCTTGGGGTTTTACCACTCTTCTACCACCCCACAAGAAGGCTGGAAGCATCAGCAAGAAGCAGACTGGCACAAGCCTTTCCTGAGAATCCCAAACTGAAATGCTTCTTTCTTCAGCACCTACTAATCCTCACTTCAGTGCCAGCTCACAGCTGGTCCCTCAAAAGCAAAGAGCCAGAGCAGCACTCTCCTGTAGAAGTGCCTATCATCAAAAGCAGTGGGTCTACCCCTGTGCTTACCTTTAAAGGGACCTTAGGGGTGTATGCTGCTTCTCGCTTTGCCATGAGAGAGAGCTTCTTCATTAACCACAGCAGGGTGGCTGGCTGCCCCTTCTCTTCTGTGTCCTCTTTTTCTCCCTCCCCTTGAGCAGAAATATCTTTCTCATCTGAGGCCTCCTGCTCTTCCACTTCACAGCTGAGTTTTTCTGCCTCTTCACCTTCTTCTGTGGCAGGGGCTAGCAAGTAAATAACTTTGGCCACAAAAAGCAAGTTCTTTATAACCTGAAGCGTGAAAACAGAGGAGTCAGTCCCTGTGGTCTCCCTCACTGTTAGCATCAGGGCCTGTAAGAGCCAAGGTTTGATCTGAAAGAGAAACCTGCCAACCCAGGATGCTGTAATGGCTTCCCCCACTGCCAGGTGAGCCACGTGACAGAGCAGGCTGCTCCTATCAGGAAGGCCCACCCCAATATCCTCCTGCAGTATGGGAGGGTCTCTCCCCATGAGCTACTTCTGGCAGCAGCTGGTTCTCTACAAAATCTCTGACCAGGTTCACAGTGGAGTCAGACCTTCAAGCAACAGCATAAATCTGGACTAAACACTCCCAGCAAACAGCCAGGGCTCCAGTGCAAGTGTAGGGACCCATCACCAGAGATCTAGATCCTTGCTCCAGGATGTCTGGGCCAGAACTTGTCCAGTCTGGGCTGCAGAGCAAAACTCACCCTGACAGAAGAGGCCCCAGTCCTGCTCTGCCTGGTGCCTCCCCTTTCTGTCCCTGCTACCCCTCAAGCAGGCTGACACCATAAGTGGGACTTCCTGGGTGCTTATGAGGCTCACAGCCGCTCAGATGCCCTCAGGACAGAGTAGCCTCTCCTGCACTGTGTTATCTGCCCTGAGCCACTACCACCCAGCAGAGCTGCTGTCCTGACTAGGACATAACACCCCCTCCATGGGCCAGAGCCTGCTCTGTGCCCTCCTGCAGCTCCAGACCTGTTCCTGCTCTTACCTGCTCACCCAGAGACACGTCCAGAAACTTGGACTGCAGCTGATGGCAGAACGCAAACACGAGTTCCTTCATCTGGGGAGAGAAAAAAGGAGATGGAAATGACTCCATTAAAGGGAGCTGGCAGCAGAAGCTCAAAGCAGTATTTTGCAGTCACCAAAGGCAGTTCCCAGGGAAGACCAAAGGATCAGCTCAACACAACTTCTGCCTACATCTTACAGTCTAGAGGGGAATCTTTGTGCTGCTGAGAATAAGACCCCAGAGCAGCCCGCTCCCTGCAGCAGAGACACCTCCTCAAATCCTTGAGTGATCAGGATTAGGCAGTGGACAAGCTACTAAAAAAAGAACTATAAATGGCAAGCAGAGTGGAGTATTACAGTCATCATTACCTT